TTTTTTCTGGCTGCTGTGTCATGCTCATTTATCTTTCAAGATGATGCGATCAGATTCTATCAGAATTTTCTTTTTAACATAATGAACCCTGATGCAAGTTTATACTTTGATTCAGCACTTTTTCCCCTCTTGATTCGGCTCTTTATTTACCTTTGAATGGATGTAAGGAGTAAGATTCTATGAGATGATTCATGTTAAGGAAAAGCTGCTTAAATATGGTAAATGAAATAAATGATATGCAAACTGATAGACTGAAATGAATAAATGGATTCATGTATATTAAACTAAACAGCAAACTATATTTAACCTTCAATTTATCTAATAAGCTCATTGAATGGTAAAGAAGTGAATGAGTAAATAGTAAATTTATTTATACCCAAATTGATCAAATTATGTTGCTTTTTCTCAACACGCTTCTTTGTTTAATTACTCTTTGAAATTATTCATTTTCCCATTTTCTCGTTCAACTATTATTTGAAAAATGAAATTTGCAACTTTATTTCACAATTATAAATGATTTACTTGAATATTGAAAAAAATCATGAAATTGAATGAAGATGAACAGGAAAAAGAGAAAAAAAGTTTCAAATTACATTTATTTAATCTTCTTATAGCTTTTGAAAATTTGATATTCTTCCATTACCACCCAGACGAAGTTCAATCTCTTTTTCTTGGTATTCAAATGAAGAGCGAAAATGATTTCCAAAAATCAATGTATTGACACAATATTGACGGAAAAAGTCATCAAGATCATGATCAGCATTATCGTTTGACAGCTATACTTTAAGTTGTTCATGGCACTTTGAGATTTTCTAACATTTTCTTACTTTTTCTTTACAGATTCAAGTTTCGATTTTTGAAAGCGTCCAAAAGCAAAGTTACTTTTTGCAACTCATCAGTCAACGAAAATGTTTCGGTAAGTAATGCTTAAAAACTCGTTGAATTTGGTGCTTTTCTGATGAGTTAAGCACAAAAGAGTTCATGGTATGACTTGAAAATTCATTCTAAAAACCGTTAGATTGGAGAAGGAATTCGCCAGAAAAATCGTGTACGTGTGAGACGATTTAGTAAAGTCAGCTCAGAGATATGTCTTTTCTTAAGGTCGAGTTTCTAGGAAGCTAATTACAATAGCAGTCACATTTTCGACTCAATTTGAATTCAGAGTAAAACATTTTAATCAAGAATTAGACTGATAATTTACTATTAAAGTTTTGTAACTTACGGATTTTACAATTTCCCCTTTGAATCGAAATTTCCGTCTTTAAAATTCTTCAACTTACGAAGCTGCCGTTAGTAAACTCAGTCGAATCGAAATTTTTTTGTTGTTTCTACTGTTGTGGGAATAAAGTTGATGTCATCAACTTAACATAATGATTACCGAGAAAAGTGATAATGGGAGTGTTTGATATTCAGCATGATAAAGATTAATTTGATTGACATGCAAACAATGAAACTTTGAATAGAAAAGAATAAAGGGCTAAATCAATTGTAACAGTTTTATGGACCGAAAATGATAACCAGACAACTGATTGTTTAACATGTAAAGGTGGACACCTTGAGTTGATTGACTGGAACAACTTTCAACAGATAAACAGTCATTTCGTCAAAATTTCGTGTTCTATTACAAACTCGCGATTTCTAACCAACACTGAATCCATCATGACTCGTTATCATTTCTTTAACAAACTTTTCCATTCTTTCCAAAAAGTTCGAAGACATGATGTAATTTAATTACAAAATTGAAGCAGACGAAGCAATCAAATGACGTCTATCGAATCAACCATTCAACCAGTCAACAATTGTTTCTCCCATAAAAGTTTCTTGGAATTTTCAGCAAGAAATTTCACCTAAATTATTCATGGAAATTGAGAAACAAATGTAAACATTCCAGTTACAAAAGTTGACTCGCCATCAAATCCTCCATTGTAAAGTTGCTAACAACTGTCACCACCAATTAATGAAGAGAAAAGTTGAAACTAAACATTTACAGAATTTGGTGAGAAATTTTATTCCTTTCGTAACCATGAAATCAATATTTCATTTCAATTAAGGTAAATCACGATAAGCAATCAATTGAACTTAAGAGTCCAGTAATTTCGGTAATGAGTTACGAAGAAAAAGAAAGAGAAAAAGAATGGAAAAGCTGTAAAAAGTGTTGAGGAATCGAGCAACAGAAGTAATCAATATCCATCAAGAATAAATGAGTTTGTTATTTATGATGAATTAACCATTTTTGGGGTTTACTTTCGCTTATTGTAACACATCGCTCATTTAACCTTTAGCCTTGGTACATGATTTGATTAATATGAATCAACAATATTATGATCAATCAAATTTTCATTTGATATATCAATGAATGCTCTTTGAATTACCATGAGAAGGAAAATTAATGAAAAGACTGAGAAATTGGGAAAAAGGAGAAAAAAAAGTAAATGAATAAAAAATTAATATTGAGACTTTGATAATAATGTTACATTTTGTTTCTTTTTTTTCGTCAATTAAATGATCACATTTGGAATTTTGAATCAATTGATTGGCTGGCTCATGTTTTTCAATGGAATAATACATTTATGGATAAAAATAAACATCAATCATTAATTAATCGATAAACTAATCAATGAATAAAGCTGCAACATTTTCTGTTGTGAATCAAAATAGCAATGAATATTCATCATGATTATGATGAATGTTGAACTTGATTTTTGCTTCTTTCTTTTTGTTCATCGTACAATGAACATCTATTCACATTGAATAACAACCATTAATCATTTTTCAAGTTGATCACAAGACCAAGAAGAATACAAAGAAGAGAAAAATTGTCACAGTTATTGATCCATTTTTTCCTCAGAACTTATCAGTTGAAGAAAATGAAGAAAACGAAAAAATTGTTTTCTCCTCATTTTAGTCTTCTTTTTCTTCTGTTATTTATTCACATAATTGATGAGATTATCAAACGAAATGAATATTGGTATTTCTGTATTTTTTGCTTTTACTTTTTTCTCAATAAAAGTTGATGAAAGTGATGTTAATTTATTCGTATAACATAATCTGATTACACGCAAAGGGACTGTTAACGGCTATGAAAGCGATATATTGTTTCAACATTGAATGTCTTTTAGTGAATTTTCAGAGGATTTCATCAATTCATGACCAGCAATGAAAGAACAGTTGGAATATTGTTGTGACTTTCGATCTAAAACAGGGAATAACTTGTTAGTTGTGTCTTGAAAAAGCAACGTTTATTCGGGTTGAAAATGCGATGTTATAAATGCAAATTGAGCGACAATATGATGGTCCGATCGGAATTTATTTTGTGACAAATTTCTTGTTTCTTAAATCACTTGTTAACCAAGATGCATTCACGCCATAAGATTGAATCAAGAATTTAATTAGTGAACTCAGGAAAAGAAAAGAATAAAAGAGTTCAATTGTTTTCTCACTTCTTTTTTCACCTCTTTAATTAATTAATGAAACATCTAACAATAATCAGATTAAATCAATTTGCTGTGGATCAACACAAGGAAACTTGATCTGTTTAATCTCCTAGAATATTCATCTAACCGTGAATAATCAGCAAATAAAAAAATTTTCCATCAAATTCAGAAATTGCTTCATGCAAATCTAGCCTTCTTTATATTATACTTTACTTTTTCCCCTTCATTCTCTCTTTATGCTTCGTTTTCGAGAAATTGAAATTTTCGTTTTTTCTTTTCTGATCAAATAATATTTTCAACCATCTTTTGATCAAACTTTTGTAATATTTTCGATGCCTTTTATCGCAACTTTATCTTTTCAAAAATGTTGATTGTTACATGATCATTTTTGTATCCCATGAAAAAGTGAAAAATGTGTTCAAAAATGAATGTTGAAAAGAAACAATGAAAATAAAATCTCAATCTTTTTCAAATATTCAGTGCCTTTCTGGGTGAGAATAAGCTCAGCCATTGACATTGACTTTATCTGATTATCATGAACAACTTTTTTTTCTTTGGCACATTTCGACATTGAAATCCCAGAAGAAAATTTATAATTGAATTTATAAATACAAATGTTGAGAAATCTTCAGAACAAGAAAATCCATAAGAAAATTTTCTTTACATCAAGAATACAAAGTCAAGAGCTCTACGATTTTTACTACGAAATTGTTTCTTTAGATTGATTAATGAAATGAAGTAGAAAGAAACTGATCTAAGACCGTTTCATTTACGTGAGTAACTGTAAGTGCTTTTGGCTATGCGCTATTTTAAATGCGCTTTTTCCTCCAGAGGACTTTATTTTTGCCCTTCCCTATTTGGCTTTATTTTATTTCGTTAGACTCTTATTGCAGCATTAACAAAGTATCAACTCTGAACTAGACGAGAAAGATTTTATGTGTGTGCAAACAAAAGATTTTTCATACAAAAATGAACTTATTATTAATAAGAGTCATTCAGCAAAAAGAAATTCTTCTTACTTTCATTTCTATGATTAAACACCTTGAAATGTGAGACTAAAAATTATGGTAAACTCATCAGGTTGAACAATTTTCTAGCATTTTGCATTCTTATTGAGATTTATTTCCCAACTTATTCTTTTCTAATGAAAAAATAACCAAAACAAAGAATTCAAATTTCATCATGAAATGTTATTTACATAGCAATGTTGCAACATTTCTCCTCACGAACATTTATCCAACTTGTATCATTTTTACTACGAAATTGCCTTTCATTTACCGTGAGAAAAAAAAGTTCCCTAAATCATTACGTCATTATGAATTAATACAACTTATCATTATTTCTGATTATACTTGAAGTGATAATGTTGAACGATAATTGATTTCATCTTTCAACATGAACAGAATATCATTTAGAATCATTTTCAGTCTTTGATTAATTCCTTCAAGAATCGTCTTTTGAGACACTTTTTCTTCTTCTTTTTTCGTCCAACCAATAAACTAAATATCTCAATATTTCATCAAAGTTAATCAAAGTTCAACCGATCAAGTCAACACTTTGCACACTCAATTTGCATTCCCAGTTGAACCATAAAATGATATTGAAAAGCACGAGTCCATATTTGATGGGGAAAAAGAAGAAAAGAGAAGAAAAAAAAGAATTTGAATGTGCCAAGTTGAATGTTCCATTTACTTTTTATATCATGCACATTATCAGTGATTCCATAAATGTTTGTCATGATGGAATCACCAAGTTATCAACAGACAAAAACCAATTGTTGAGATGTGATTTAACCCGAGGCACAACTCATCACACCTTGATTCGAGTTGCCTTTTCCTTCCCTCGATTTACACTCTTCATTTCACTTTGCAAATTATCACTTTTCCCTTCTTCATCTTTTTTCCCATTCCTTTCAACCATTTAACTTCATCAATTGTCATCCTTCTCTTTATCCTGATTATTATGGAATCTTTGTTTTGTTGTTAAGAGAAGAAGAAAAAATGTTGTCAAAAGTTTAACTTATTAAGTTAAAAGTAAGCAATTGAAGCAAAAAGATGAAGATGATGAAGAATCCGTCAAAAGTTAACATTATTATTCGTAAAACTTTTCAACCTTAAGCTAACATGATGATGAATTTTGTTCCATTTATGGTTCATCTTATCATTTTTTTCTCCTGCCGTTGCTGTTCATTTCAACTCAACTACTTTTATCCTTCTTACATGATAAATGTAGTTTTACTTTCTATTACTCAAATGAACACAAAGTAAATAAGCGATGATAATGATATTATACAGACAGAATGTTAATGTAAATAAGATGATTTGAAAAGTAACTCTTTTTGTCTCTAAATCTGTATAACTTTCACATTGACCACTGTCCATTTGGAAGCAATTATTTCATAGAAAAGGTCAACCATTGAACTCGCCATTGCATCGAAATGGAAATTCAAAATTTTTCTTTTTCTTTTCTCTCTTTTCCAGATTTCCGTCGATTTCATGTCCGTTTTGCTTATACATTTGGTAAAGGTTAACAAGATGAACATTTATACTTGATTGGAGAGAAAAATTTCTGAAGAATTTCATTTTTTCTACTTTTCGATTTGTTGGTTTGATTTTTTTTCTGCTCCGTTGTTGAACTTTTTGATAATTGTTACTTGGGGCGCAATTTTTTTACATGATTGATTGTAAAAGCGATTGATAAGTGACGATATAATTGCAGTCATTGCCAGTATCGAATGGAATCTGCTGGACTATTTTTAGACGATTATCCAAACAATTTCACTAGCGATAATGGAACCGTTTCTTTCATCTCATCCACCTTTGGAGTTACCTCTTCAGTTTCATCTTCCTTGTCTTCTTCCCTTTCATCTTCACTTTCATCCGTCTCGCCAGTTTCATCCACAGCCTCTGCCTCCATTGACTCGACCCTTGCCAGCTCAACCTATCCAAGTTCACTCGATGCTCTTGGGTCCAACCTTGGATCAACCCTTCAACCCGACACTCTATTCACTCTGGTTGACTCTTCACTCGATCAACCTCCTTGCAGTCCAGCTGAGCTACTTGAGCTAAAACTACGAAATGATCCTCTCATGCTATTATCTGTGATCTCATTAGTGATTATTAATCTGCCGTTATTGCTGGTAATATTCTGTTATCGTTGCAGTTTCCATTTCATCTAAACTTCGTACCATAACCAATTTTTTCATTGTTTCACTGGCCGTTGCCGATCTTCTGCTCGGATTAACTGTGGCTCCTTATGCATTAGCACTAACGGTAAGTAAACCGAAACACAAACAGACCAATAAAGTATCGAAAATTTAGTTAGATAAAACAAAGAATGAAAATTCCATTCCGCAGAAAAGTTGAAATAAATTCATCTTAAAGTTGGTCAGATAAGGTGAACCATGAAGACCCATTCTGACAAAAATTTTATCAAACATGATTTCATTTGGTTCAATGCAGAAAAGACGAAATTATCAAGTATAATTTGTGGAAGTTTTGAGCGAATTAATAACTTGCAAAATGAATTTTTTCTCAATTTCCTCAATTCCATTCAACCGCTCTCTGAGCATTTGATTTAAACAAATTGTTTATGGAAATTATCTTCGAATTATTCATGCAATAATTCACATTTTGTTCTTATATTTAAAGTTGCATATAATTCAGTTGGACAGTAAAAGGAAAATCAAAGTCTAAGCTAAATGTTTAGAGGATATTGTTTAACCAATAATGAATGCCTTATTCCATGTATATTCATGGTATACCATCGATAACTTGCCCTGAATACTTCATTGATTTACATTCATATCAATCTTTGTCAGTTGTTTACGGTGTGATTATTTCACCAAACGCAACAGCAAAAGTAATGAATAATAATATTGAAAGATGAACGAAAAGCTGTAATAGCTAAACGAAATGGGTGAACACAAGAAATGAGAAGGAAATAAATCTCAATTGAAAATTGAACAACAACAAAATGTTATCGAGAAAACAAAAGAAATATTTTTCTTCTTCCCTCAACAATTTTGCTCAATATCTTTCAATTCAAGTGCTTTTCTTGCCAGAACTTGGATTCATTTTTTTCATCATTTTGTTATTTAATAGAGAATAAAAAAAGCTTCTGAAAATAAGTTGAAAACTGAAAAGGAAATGAAACAAGTAAAGAGTAAGAGAGCAAAATTGTTCACTAAAATATAGTTGATCATCAATTATTAATTTAATTTGATGAGGAAATTAATCAAATAAACTATTCTTTTTTTCACTGTACACTTTCAGCCTTTTCAACTTGTTCAACCAAATATTAATTAACATCATTTTTACCCTGGTTTTTGGGTTTCATTTTTTTATTGCGTTTCTGTCATGAAAAATTGTAAAATGTTGAAAGAAAAGGCTGAAATTCCCTGAAATAATAGTCCATTGTTTAATCTTTATCGAAGTTTGTTTCAAGGAAAATTGGCCAAAATTTTGATTTCATCTTTTATTTGGACATTTTGTGCCCATTATGACAATTTATTAGTTTACTGATGGCTTCATGAGGAAAATGAAATGGATCATCAAAGTCATGGTCAAGACTTGATGGTAGCATTGGCAATAATTTTCAATTGTAAATACTTTAGTTTTATGAACTCTTGAGTTGGTCGAGATTTGAAGATGCAACAACCTTTCAGTTAATCTCAATTACTCTAGTTGAACATTCCAGAGTAAATCAACAAAATAAATTGAATTTTAACTGAATTATGGTTTTCAGCATAATGAATTTTTACATATTGTAAGTAAAATTTTAAAAACTACAAAAATCATAAATTCTGTCAAATATTCATGCAAAAGACGGATTTTCAGCCATATTCGAAACAGTTCAACTAATAAATAATGCCGAGGGACAATACGCAATTAACAAAGCTTAGCTAATAGACAAAATTATTCGTTGTTTTTTTTAATTTAGTGACATTCCGAGTTTATCTGTTTGATTTTCGGTATAAATTTTAGTCAATGTTTGTCCAAATTACATTGAAACAGATCTGTTCAAACAATCAAGGAAGAGAGAGAAGCTCATATTCTTCATTTTAAATAATTCATGAACTCGCTGACGCACGGTCTCCTTCTTTTATCATTTAAACAGATGTCGAATGATATTTATAATATTGGAATAATTATTCACTATTTATTCCGATTGAAGGCTATCTAAACCAAAAAGTTAATAGAAAGTCAAGATAATTGCAGCTTCTTTGCTTTGGATACTAACTTTTTTAAAATTGGTTAAACTTGTTACTTGAATGTTAGGAGTTGATGAAAGTTTCGAGGTATAAGACTTTAATCAAACTTTGTTATAATTCTTTGTCTCGAAAGGTTAAACTTTGGATTACTTGTTTGTCTCAACTTTATTTTAAACTTTAGTATCTTGTGAAATATTGAGAAATATCAACAGATTTCACTGTCCATTACTAAATAATGAAAGGTGAAAAGTTGCCCAAAATGAAATTCAAATGAATTATTCAAAATTATTCTTGAAAAAATACGATTTCTTGAAAGTGTCATAAACTATTTCTACTTTCATCTTTGATCAATCACAAATCTCAACCTTTCTCAATCCACTCAAAACCTTTTCAATAAGATTATAAAAGGTCATATCTTGTTGAGTCAGGCTAGACATTTATACAAACCTCTCGGGAAAACCTTTTGGGAAAATCTGGTGAATCCTTTTTTCAGAAAGTGGATTAAATAGAGAAATTAAATTTGAACAAAACTTAGAACTTAGAAAACAAAAAAAACTAGAACAAATAATTCTGCAAAACTACGAAGTAATTCCCAAAAATATTTGCAATAAGATGATGCAAGATACCTGTAAAAGTTATAGGCATTAAATATGTTATCAGGTAAATGTTTCATTTATGAAGCAGCAGCAGTGATTATCATCAGTCTTCTGAAAATGGATGAAACTATTGAAAACTGTTAAATAAAACTGGCAAGACTCTGATATAAAACATTTGCATCCATAACTGAACTGTAATCAAAATACAAAAGTAGCTTTGAACGATATTTTATCACCAACTGTCGACCAGAGAAGTTCTCGAATCACGAAAATTGACCTCCATTTGCATCACCTTATTATACACCTTTTGCACCTTAACTTTCGATTCGATAAAGTTATGATGAATTACAATTTCCATCATCAATATTCAATATTGATGGTCATGATCGTCACCATGTTAAATTGTTTACTCATCCATGATTATCTATTTAAATGTTGGTCAAAAATATTGCCATGATTGGAATATGATATTGATTAGGAAGTAAAATAATATCGCCAGTTATTATTGTCTTTTCAACATGAAATATCTTCTTATACATATTTGATAACATATTATTTTCTTGTTCGCTACTGAATCTTCTCATATTTTCATCTAAGCATCTTGAATGGCTGTCACCTGATTTTGATAATAGGCAACAATATTAATAGCAATAAAAATAGTAATGAAAAATGTCCACAAACCTGGAAATAAATGATAACATATTTAACCAAGAGTACTTATTTTCAGCTCAAATTGATTGCTATTACTGGCTTTTATTGCAAAGTACTTTATTGGTCTTTACTTTCATCTATTATTGTTGTCTAATCATTTGCATCTTTTTTTCCCCATTCTCTGAATTTCGATTGGAAAACGCAGGTTTTGGATGTTTGGATATTTGGTGAAATTTGGTGCCTTGGTTGGCTTGTGATTGATGTTTGGTTGTCAACAGCCTCAATACTTAACCTTTGTGCAATCAGTGTTGATCGTTATTTGGCAGTTACTCGACCTGTCCGCTATCGATCCATAATGACATCTAAACGAGCTAAAATGATTATCGCATTTGTTTGGATACTTTCCTTTATTGTTTCATTTCCACCTTTACTTGGTTGGAATGACACTGGATCCATTATAGCTCAAGGTGAGTCCAGGTTCAAGAATTGAGAAAATGGATTGTTTTTCGAAAAAAATTTGCAAAAAATACGTCAATTTGAATATTTTTTTAAGGCTCTTTATTTGCTAAAAATAGTTGCTCTACAGTTTGCAATTGATTTTTCATTAGTAGACTTGAACTTTATTTGAAACAATAAAATGTTTTGCATTTAGATTTTGTTGTAATAATGATATCAAAGACACAATTCAAGTTGTCTACTTCAACAAACCCATTTCATGATTGATTGAGTTCTTGGAATTTTCCTTTTGTCTTAAAGTTCCAGTAATTTTCTATTTTTAGGCAAAGCAAAGGATTTTAGTTTGCTCATTGTTTTAAGATGTATCTTTGTCGAGCTCATTCAAGAATTATGAAAAATTTTGATCAGGAATTTGTTTGAATGAACAAGATTTTTCTTATTTGCTTCTGTAACCAAAACTTTAGAACTGTTTTCCACTTTTTGCGAATTCGAAAGGATCCAAAAGTTGAAGTGAATTTAGGAACTTAGTTTTTGAAGAAAATTTTTTTGCTGTTTAGAGATGACAATTTTGTACCAAAAGTAACTTTTCTAAATTCATTAGTATTTTGAAAAGCTGTGTGATTCAAAATTTAGATTCAATGAATGGTATTAATTATTGTTTTGTTTTCTGTTCAATTCAGGGCAACATGATAATGATTCGTCTAGTATGATGGTGGCCACAACTTATGATGGATCAAAGTGCTTGTGGAAACCTAATCAATGTGTACTGTTTGACAACACTGGTTATGTCACTTATTCAGCATTGGGATCATTTTATATTCCAATGTCTTTTATGATGTTCTTTTATTGGCGCATTTACATTGTCGCCTCACGAACAACACGTGCCTTGAAAAGAGGTTATAAAACAACCAAAACGGGCGACTCCGAGACTGATGGATCATCTGACAAACGGTTAACTCTTCGCATGCACCGAGGCTACATATGTGAAGATACAGGGTCCAATGCAAGTTCAGAGACACCATCCTTGATGTCCTCACTGTCCACTGATGTTCATAACTGTCATCAACTTCACCCAATCCATGGTCATTCCCATGCACACCATCATAATGTTCACCATTCACACCCTCATTCTCATGCTCAACACCATCATCACTACCATTCATCTAACCACGAGTACACAAACAATCATCAAGTAAATTGTACATCATTCATGAAAACTAGTCCTAAACTGGCCAAATCTTTTTTCAGTCCAAGTAAGCTTCAAGGTTATAATAATCGAGTTGATGATAATAACAATTCACCAAGTGAAATGAGCAACATTAGTAGCGTCAATAACAATAACAATTTTAACGCTTTAAACGATACAAACAATAGTCATAGTAATATTAGCGGCAACGCTGCCAATTCTGGTTCAACCAACATCAACTCTTGTGAATCTCATTTTGGTAATAATCTGGTTGTTCCTAAATTCACTCCAGGTAATGCCAATGCAGGTAGTGGAAGTGGCAGTGGTGGAGGTAAAGGTCGTCGTAAAACACCCATAACAGTCTATAGATCACCTCGGTTGCAGGTCAATTCAATAGCACTTGAAGGGTCTGGGTCATGTTGTGAAGCTGATGGTCAAAAGCGTCGATCAACCTGTTCACTGGCTTCTTCTTGCAGTGGTTTAACTTCATTAACTGGTGTTGAAAGTTCACCTAGTCATACACGAGACTCTGGTCGATCCAATGCTTCCAAATCGGTTCGCTTCAGTCGAAGGGCCAACACGGGTAAATGGCAAACTCGAAGGTTACTCGCTGAAACGAAAGCTGCCAAAACGGTTGGAATAATTGTTGGTGGATTCATCATTTGTTGGTTTCCCTTTTTCACCATCTACTTGATTCGTGGCTATTGTCGTGATCAAAATTGTGTCCCCAAATTGTTGCTCACCATATTTACTTGGTTGGGTTACACAAATTCAGCTGTCAATCCCATAATTTATGGACTTTTTAGTCGTGACTTTCGTCGAGCTTTTAAGAATATCATTTGCAAGTGTAAATATTCAGAGGAAACTGGTGTCACTTCACTTATCCGTCAAATTCATTTGCCCAATCTGTTTGAAGAAGATAATCATGATGATTGTATGAAAACTGATTCCCAAGAAGATGTCCATTAAGAGAAATCTGTTAATTGATACAATTAATGTTGATAATAAAATTCTTTTTAACTTATCATTTAAACAAAAAATCTTATAATTTCATTAAAATGCATTTAATTGCTAATCAATTGTCAACTTTTTCATTCATTTTTCAGATTTCTAGCCGCTCAATATAAATGTCGAATAGACGGAAAAATTCGAATAAAAATGTCGAAAAATACTTTTCATGAAAAGTTTTATAAAGCTCGTGTGGTATGCAATTAATGGTGCAAATGTTTTTGATTTTTTTGTTTTTCTTGGGTTGGTGACATCTATGTGAATCAAGATCAGGATGTCAAAATGGGTTGAACTGTTAAAGGACCTGGCTAATTGTTTGCAGTGCAGATTAAAATTGTTTTCCCCTGAACTTCACATAGATGTCAGGATTCCAGAAACTGTAAGACCTAAACTGTAAGAGCTGTAACATCAAGCTAGGTATTGCCATCTATTGATGATTTCACACTATAAATACTCTGTTAACTTCTGTTGCTTGTGCCATCTGCCGAGCGCTATTCTAATGCTGCTGAACATATCTGCTTAAAATTTGAAATCAGCATAGGAATATAAATAAAAAATTATTCACAAAGCAACCTCAAAATTTATGTGCAATTACTCCAACCATTTAAACTGGAAAGCAACCTTTTGTCTACCTAAGATAGCAATAAAAATGACTTGAGAATGTAAAAATTGTGTCTTATTTAATAAAATAAAATGCATAAAGTTCTTGAATGCAGAGTCAATTTCAAAATATACAAATGAACTTTACTGTAAGCTTATATAACTGTTTGCTTTTTTCTTCGAATGATATTGTCAGACAATAACAAAAGTTGATAACTGAAAAGAAAGAGTGAACAGTTTCATCCTCGTCGAGTGGCCATTATGATTATGATTTCAATTGTTCGATTCAATATCATTTCTTTCTATCGTTTTTTTCTTTTCAAGTTCGTTTCTCAATGTAAATTGATAAATTAGCATCTAATGAGACCCAATTTGTTTTATTAAAGCAACAAATGATGATCACATTTCTTTCGTTCAAGTGGAAAGAAATGATTCTTTCCACTTTTTCTTTTCCATTCAATGTTTCTTTGTTTTTCACACGAGCTGAAAATTGTGAAGGGTTGAAGAATGAAAACTTATTCATATTTTTTGGTGTCGACTCAATCAATGTCACAAGGAATCTATTAAACTTTTCACAACTTGCCTTTATTGTGAGCTTGGAGTTGAAATTTTTTTGAAAGAAAAGACAAAAGTCGAGAGAAAATGTTTGAAAACAAAAACTTAATCGTTAACTTTTCCTTCTCTTTGAGCATTTATCACCCAAACCAAACCTTATCAAGATGAATTTAATGTTTTGTATTGTCAAAATTTATCATCAAATAAGTTGTCATAGAGAGAAGTTGCACATTGTTCAGAAAATTTTATTCTTTTACATGAAATATCATGGATAAGAAACCTTTTGCTCTAACCTTGCTGAACCTCTAAGCTTCAACCTTTTGCTACAAATAAACACAAATCCCTAAAGCAACTTACTTTCTTTGTTTTTCTTCGACTCGTCCGTCCTAACCTTCAACAAACCCTTGCTCAACGAGGACCCGAAAGGGCAGTCTTACCTTTCTGTATAAATACCTAAAATTTCACCTCAAAATGTATGGTGTATTATATTACTGTCGTATGTTCAGTGTGTTTGAACTTGAACTGATTTTGAATCTTATTTGTATTGTCTTCATTTACTTGAAGTTGAGTTGTATGTACTTTCATCTATTGAATTAAAAATTGGAAAAAAAGAAACAGCGGTAAAAGAAAAAATTACAACAGCATCTAACATAACTCGTTTAATTGCTAAATGATTAATCAAAAAATGACCAAATTATTGTTGACACAAAGGAATCAGATAATTTAGAGAGTCACTTGGTTGAAAGTGAACTAACAGTAAACCAAGTGAGTCAAAATCAAGCGTGGGCAATGTTACGTTTAATTTAGTCAGTTACATTGATAATGATCTCTTGTTTACCTTGTTTGAAGGTATCATTATCTAAGTTAAGTCTCTTATGTTACAATTAGGGCAACTAAATTAATGCTTAAGATGGAAATAAAGCGATTTCAATAATAAAATATCTGAAACATCTTTTTCTTCATTACAGGAGTCAAGAGAAAGTATGAATGGTTGATGAATGAATAAAAACAAAGGCATCTTGCTTTTCATGGTTTTGCTTGGTTTTTCTTTGTGAAATTGACAGCAAGGCTTATTCAATTAGCAAAACAATTTATACTTGAGTTCTCCAAAGGAGGAGGACAGAAAGAATAGGGAAAAATGCCTGAAAATAGCTTAATTTTATACATTCAAAGTGCATTCCAATGTTGTTCTATGGTTATCCACCCATAAAGATCATTTTGAATCAAAAGCTGCATAGGAAAAATGGGTTTTGATCGTGGTTCACGAATATCGAGTGTTCCATAAACCATCAGCAATACTTCACCATAGTTTCCCATATTTTATATTCATGATCGGCATGTCAAGTTTTATCAGAAATAATTTGTTTTATGTAAAAAATTTTTTAAGGCCATTATCTCGAAAACGGCTTCGAATATAAAAAAATGGTTAACACTGTGATATTTTTCATGCCATTTTACATTTAAAAAATTTATTTTGAAAAAAATCTATTTCTTAGGCAAATTCCGTCCGCCTCCTTTACAACTTTAGCTCCGTCCTTTTCCGTCACGAAAAGTTGTTTCGTCAAATCATTTTTTGAGAGAAACATACAATAGCTTCAAAAATTATTATGAAAATTCAATTCTCATCTTTAACTTTCAGACGAGCCATTTTGGTGAATTTTAGTCACATCTTGCAGTTCCGTGACATTATACACGGGATACGGTATAAGCGATGCGAAGATCGAGATTGATATAATGAATGAAGTAATACAGAAATAGATGTTCAAAGTTTTATTTAGATTAGTTTTTCTTGGAAAAGAAGTTAAATGAGAGAAATCGATGGTAGGTTCAACCAGGCAATTCAGTTAATTAGCCGCGAGTCCTCAAATAAAGTTTCATGTCACCTATCACAATTCTAACCGCTTCTGATTCAAAGTCATATTCCCTATGCTGAGTAATACAAAGAGAATGAAAATATTGTAAAACATTGAATTGTTTACAAATCTCTCTCCCTTCCCTTCGAACGTCTTCAGCATTAGGCGTGATAAGAGACGCAATTTTTGCGTTCAATTGATCGTTATTGATTATATTCTTTAACTTGTTGAAGAAGGTTTTAGTATTTTTATGTCGACAAAAATCATAGTGACATGCTCCTTCTGGAACTAAACTTTCAGGTAATAGGATAAGATAAATACGAGTATGACCAAACCAAGGATCATAATAAGCTCGATAAGCGAGATGAAAACGTCCTTCAGCATTTCTAATTGAGTTACAGGTGGCTGCAGAATTTAAGGAGTTACGGAAATCTGAGCCGCTATGAAAGAATTGAAAATTAGTCAATGTAGATAAATCTGTTTCGATTAATGATAGAAATCATAGATTACCTCGCTTGTTTGCTAATGTAATGGTACATAAAACCTCCATTTCGGTGGTTAATATTATACAGCTCGATGTTAATGTTATATTGTCTTGGTATTCCAGTTATCGGTTCAAGCTATAAATGAGATTGGAATAAGTTATTTCTGTATGATTAAATGATAAACTTAACTCACCAGTTCGAATAATTGTGTCTCTTTGTATTTATATTTATCATCATTCCAATCAATGACTATGTCATGATATTCACCTAAAAATTCTAGTTGAAATGTAGCTAAACGAATATAGAAAGTAATATCGAGTAAATTATTTAATTTGTATTACAATGAAATGGACTTACATACATCATCATGTTTCTCCATTCTAAAACAAAAATAATATCAAAGTATAAATGAATCTTGAAATAAGAAACACGTTGAAGAACAAGTGGAAACTTTCAACTGAAAACAAAAGGCAAACTGACAAAATTTCAAAAAAATTGGTCCCCAACAAAGAACTAGATTATTGGGCCAAAACAAGTTTGGACTCAGGCAAAAGCGCTCTTTTCAAAAAAAACTGGAAAAAACTAAATTTTTCGATATTGAATACAATGGTATCAATGAAGACAAAATAACAGTTTGTCTCGGCTTTAATCACTTCATTCATACTTATGAACGGACTCACGATCATAAATGATCACAAAATAATTTAATCAAAAAACATCAAATCATCCATGATAAGCATTGTTAAAATGTAAACAAGGTCTACTGATTCATAATTTTCATTTCAATTCTGAGTTTTTTCTTCTTTATTATCTTTGCTCATCTTGTTCGTAGAGATACGTCGGTTACAGGCTAGTTTGGTTAGTATAACCAGTAACTGTGGTTCTTTCACCCCCAGTTACAAATAACCGGTTACTTGCTGGTTACAAATTTCTTACCGCCAAATTCAAAAATAAAAAGTTTAATTTTTCATCTTTTATCAGCGCCATCTATTAATGTATTTAGAAAGTTGTTGTTTACTTTCTTTACTTTCTTTTCAAATTTCCCTCTCAATGTAACCAGCAAGTAACCGGTTATTTTGTAACCGGTTATAGTAACTGGTTATAGTAACCATACTTGGTTACTTTTCTCCCCCTCTAACCAAGTAACCGGTTACCAGTAACCAACTGGTCTCTACTTGTTCGTCTTGGCTTCTCTCCATTTCACCAGATGAATCGTCTTATGATATTCAAATGAGAAGGAAAAGCATACAATATCAAATTTGGGTGAAAATTGGATTCTATTTTTTGTTTTATTTTCACTTTTCTTGTTCTCTCTTTTTATACTCAAATGGTTAATACAAATGTAAATAAATCATCAGTAGATTGAGAATTATTTGAATGAAAAGAAGAGTGAATAAGAAGAAAAGCTTAAATTGAATTGATGAACATTAAAAATGGAAGCAAAATGAAGAGTAAATGGTGAAAATTTTGACAATACTAATGATCTTTTATGGACAATAAATCATTGAGCAATTATGTTTACTAATCAATTTACAAATTTTTATTAATGATGATGAGAGGGAAGGGTGAGGTGTACTTGTTCGTTAGTAGAGCAAAAAACGAATGCCGATGTCGGTTTGCGGTCACTTTCGATGTTCACTAGTAACCCAAACGGAACATTTTTATTTTTACTTTTTCGTTCTGTTTTGCTTACAGTGTTGATTTAAAAGGTACAAATAAACCAATTTTACTTCTCAATTGTACTGAATGACAATGAAATGGTTAAGTGATAATTAAAACTCTTCATCGAGAAGTTATAGGATTTAGACACAAGGACGAAGCCCGAGTCATTACAATCACATGACACAATCTGTGAAGTAATTTTCTAGAATTTGACTTCAAGCGCTGAAAATTTGATAAATAAAATTTCTTTTGCCTTAATTTTAATTCCTGAAAAAGGGTAAAAATCGAATAAAAAATACGATTTTTACTTTACTTTAGTTAACCATACAATTGTCACCCACTTATATGTATATGCTCACTTTACCATTTAAATTTTTACCTTCAAATTATGTATTTTTACCTTGTACCTTTTACCTTGATTTTGAGTTCATTTTTTTATCTCTCAGTTTAATTGCCAGTGGAAAGGTTATGTTTAAACCCAAGTCGACAGCAGCAGCAGTCAACTTAAACATCGACTCACATTGTCAGCTAAACACTGTTCAACCCTTCTTTGGAATTGGTTCATGGGTTAAACATGATGTTGCCACCACTGCAGTACCTTCAACCACAACCGTTATAACCAGAAAGAAAGTAAATAATTATAACCAAAAAGCTTTACCCTTTCCTGAAGCCTTTTCAAGTCGATCAAGTCAAAAGCCAACCATTTCTGCTCGATCCTCACTTTAGATACCGAAACCAGCCAGGTAATGCTGGACTGGCTGAAAATTGACTTGCAAATGACTGACAGCTAGCTGCTACTAGATAAGTGACTAATATCGACAACTAGAAACATCATTACAAAAACAATTGTTTAGTTCTGAAAAAAGTTAGTTGTAAAAATTTCAATTTTAAACCCAAAGCTAGCTAACTTTAAGCTAATTCATCCAAACTATCTACTGGCTATAGCCAATCATGCTGACACTGGCTGGCTAGCTAACTTGATTTTCACTGGCTCCGGCATCTACCTCAAATCCTTTAAATAACAATGCTAGCCTTCAGCTTGGCCTTCCTCTTCATCGTCCATTGAGTATGGATTCACTGATTCAGATTATCCTTATATAATTGTTAAAAGTATTAAGTTGATTATTCATCACCAGAATATCAAAGTGATTATTATGATGAATCACTCAATGAACCAACATTCACACCGAAACTGACCTCATCTTCAACCTCAAGTTATCAGGGTAAAGGTCGGAAGGTACTTAAATGTCGAACCTCGGATGGACGTCAGTTAAATGATGGACAATGTAATCAAAAATTGGCCGATAAAAGGTTAACAATGACTTCATTAGCGGGCAAGGCAAGTCAACTCGACTAATGAAGGTAATGGTGAAAGCAGTGAACCTTAAATGTCAAGTAAATTGGGCCGAGGAAAAATGGTCTCAAGGTGTAAGGGAATGGAATATTGATGAATTTCCAAGTTCTTCAACTGAAAAGTCTAAACCTTTTGGAGCTCGTTCAGGAAGATCATCTGATTATCCCTCTTCACCCTCACCACAGGGATCATCATCTGATGATGATCCTGAATCAACCTGTGATCAACTGGGTGTGAGTTATTCTGATAAAGGAGAATTATTAGCTAAATATGAAGATAAATACCAGGTACTATTCAGTCCAGGTAAGCTTAAACTGAATACCAAGTTTAATCAATTTGTGTGAACACTTTTCATCTTCTTCTTTTCAATTATTACATCAACTTTGTAGGTTACATTTCAAGCCTCAATTTAGACTTGAATATTAGTAAGTGAAGTTCAATTTTTAATCACTTGGATTGGAAAAAATCTTGATAACATTTATTTAGTATTACTTTGAGGATTTTAATTTATTGCTTTATTTTTGGGTAAACAATAATCTTGAAATCAAGGTTTAACTCATTAGGTTGGCTCCAACAGTTGATTATGAACTATGATGGCAAAAATTATTCATCAGATGTTGATAAGTTAAATCATTTTAGTTCATTAACGGTAATAACTCGAGTCAACAAAACTTTTATTAATAAAGTGAATCCATTAACGAAAATATTGACTTGATAGACCAACAGGATCAATCTTGATTTTAATCAACTTGTTGCTATTTTTTAAACAATTAGATTACAACTATCGTGAAGCAGCACCAAAATAGAAGTCAACAACAACTTGCTATGGGTCATCTCAATCTTCATCGTTAAACCATAAATCTGGTCGGTCATCGTCATCCTCGTAACCTTTTTCCTCTTCTTCGTCATCAAAACCCAGCATCTGAAAGCTATGATGACTATTCAGATGGACTACCAGAAGCTTCTGAGGGCTTTACAAAAAGTGATTCAGATACACCTTCATATCAGTCAGATGATTCTGGTTATTCAAAGAGTTCATATGACAAATCAGATAAAAATGACAAGAAACAATCATCTGAGCCAAGCTATAATTATCGAGGAAGCGACGAGTATTTAACATCTAAATCATCAAAATCATCCAATCCATAAAATGACGGGGAACCAGTTCAATATTATAAGCCTAGCCAAGGATACGATGATTACGCTGCTGAAAACCGAGGGTAGGGTGGCGATGAGAAACATAATGATAGATAATCCTCCAGAAGAGGTAAAGAAGAGAAAGTCAACAGAGTACAAAGCTGAATACAAGCCAGATGAAAGTTATGACGAGAATGATGATGACTCTGGTTCAATGGATTACGGTTATAGTGCAAAAGGTGGTAAAGAAGAGAGTCAGAGTTATGACGATAAACCGAGAAAGAATCGATCCAATGAGGAAGAAGAGTTTGATGCTGCATTCAAGGAACCATTGAGCGACCATAGACAAAAACATGTTAAACCAAATGATTCAGCTAAATCAACTCCCTCGTCATCTTCATCCTCATCGTCACTGTCATTGTATACATCATCACCATCTTTCCAATCAACATCACCGTCAAACTCATTCACACCATCGTTCACTTCCCATAAAGTGAACAGCAGAATCTACTTAAGGCCTAAAAATGGCGAGAAAGCTGTTGTAAAGGCAAGCATGATGGTTGATTAGTGTAAATTATATTAATTCATTGTATTATTGCTACATTACCTTTTTTTGTGTCACAACATTTTTAAAAGAATCATTAACAAATTAATAAAATTGCAATTATTTGCATAATTTTTATCACAAAAGTAAAGAACCATAAATCATACTTTACACTGATTGACATAATTGCTCATCAAACATGGCAGGTTGCCATGTCAACAAGCTACCAAGGTAACCAAAATTAATCACAAACAAGATTAAAAATGATTACCTTAATCATTTGACAGGCGATAACATTGGTTAACCAGTTAACCTAGGATTATCAAATTGAATAACCAAAGCATTAAGCCTTTGATTGTCTAAATATTACAGATTATTGAATTTGAACTATTTACTAGAATCGAAAAAAATATTATTTGACTTACAACTTACTTGTTAGTGATTAACATTCAATGGTTTGGTTGCCTTTTTGAGGATCATTTTATGATCACCAGATTAATTATAATAAGTTCAATTAAATCCAGGTCTTTGTACTGAAGATCATGTTTATAATTAACTTGAATTCATTTCTGTTTACCTTTCACTTTGCAAAGTAAAATACATTTTACCAGTAAATTAACTTTCACTTTTTCAATTAAAAAAATTGAACAATTTGTCAAACAATTTTTCAAATTAAAGCTGTAAACTAAATTCACTTTGTTTCTGCCACGATTTAAACATTAGTTTACCTTATTGATAAATCAGATGAGCTGAAAAGAAAACAATTTAGCTAACAATTATCATAATATATTTCATATTCTGATCATTTATAATAATCACACAATAGCAAAAATTATTTGTCAACATTCAAAGATTAATTGAGTCTTATTTCTGACTATAATTAACATAACTTAATTGCCATCAACTAATCATTACAAAATGAAAGTTCGCATGTTTACCAATCACAATCATTAATCAAATTGCTTCACACTGTATTGCCTATTAAAACTGAAACAGACTACAATTAAGCTTTCCTTGTTTACATTTTAACTTCAACCTTTTCAGGTTCAAAAGATTTCGGGTTAATTTAGTTTATTAATTTTCCGTATTTAGATATTAGCAAATAAATAAATGTTTTCTTAAATTGACAATTAAATAATCAATGGTTAACTTAGGCAGCAATCATAGTTGCAAGTTAATTTTATATCTTTGTAAATCAAAAGTAAACTTAAATACCATCAAACTCGGACTATCACTACCGTAAGTTACTGAGAATCAGTTGAATCTAATCTGATTGTTGATCAACTAATCGAATGTAATTATCAAAATTGACACTCAAATAAACAGGTTTGTTTCTCAATCACTTTGAATTCCTTTAAACATAATCAACTTTAATCAAATCTTTGTTTAACTAATTTTTTAGTTTGACAAAATAGACGTAAAAACAAAACACAATTTAACAGATGGAAATAGGACAAGAATGAAATTTGACAGAATCCTTTGTGATGCACCTTGTACAGGAGATGGGACGATCAGAAAAAATGTTGATGTCTGGACAAAATGGACGATATCTAATGGAAATAATTTTCATGGTATTCAGTCTCGAATTGGTAGAAGATGTCTAGAATCGTTAGCAAAAGATGGTTTAATGTTTTATTCAACTTGAGGTCTTAATCCAATGGAAGAGGAAGCTGTAGTTGCCTCTTTGTTGAATCAATGTGAAGGTGGTGTTGAACTTGTTGATGTATCTGAAAGCCTACCTGGACTCAAATATTCACCGGGTATAGATACTTGGGTTGTTATGCAAAAAGACATGAAAATCCTCAATTCTTGCCAAGAAGTCGAGGAAATTACCGAACACAAATCCGTGAAACATTGTTCCCTCCAGAAAATGCTAATCTTCCATGGGAAAAACCGAAAGAAGAACTTAGTGATGCAGAAAATTTAAAAACAGAAGAGATGACTGATGCTTCTCGAATCAAAACAGATCCACCAGCTAAAAGAGCAAGACGTTTTCGCGGTTTGCGTGAAGATCCTTTCTACTTTTTTACTGAAGAAAGTGAAGAATGGATTGCGATTAAAAAGTTTTTTAAAATTTCTGATAAATTTCCTGTTAATCAATTGTTCGCGCGATCAAAAGGAGCTAAGAGAAATATTTATTTTGTAACTTCTTCGGCTCGAGAAACATAATAAATAATATCAAAGTGCGTATTTATAAATTTACACAATTGAATATGTTATTAATTTCATTCCTAATTTCAAATTTAATACTCTATTAGTTTATTAATGCTGGAGTTCGTTTATTCTGCCGAGCTGATGATAAAGTTTGTGATGTTGGCTATAGAATAACTCAAGAAGGTTTATCTTCATTATTTCCCTACCTTGATAAAGAAAATATGGTGACACTTAATGCAACTGAACTTGCTCTCATAATTACCCAAGAAATGACCAGATACGAACAACTAGAAGAATCAACTCGACTTAAATTGTCAACTTTACCAAGTGGTTGCATTGTTGCCATTTATTGTGAAAATTTAACTTCAAAATGTCCAAATAGAGGAACCATTAATCATGAAATGGTTGTTCCTTTATGTATTTGGAAAGGAAAAAATACTGTTCGTCCTTTTGTATCAAAATCGGAGAGAATTCATTTTCTCAGAATCTGTGGAGGTGATACAAAGAAATTAGGTGCGTTAAAATTTGCAAATTTGTAATGAAAATATTGATTATAAAATCACTTTTATTTTTTCTTTACAGAGGCAACTGAACTAAAAAAGTTTCAAGATAAACAAGAAAGGAAACAAGCAAGACTGGATGAGCGGAACCAAAAACAAGAACAAAACGATTTGAAAGAAAAATTGGAGAAAAATCAGGATCTTGATTCAAAAACAGAAAGCACAACTTGTTAATAACAAATTTTTTTGCATTAAAATTTGACCAAGTTTTCAAACAAAAACATTTTGCTCCAATTTTTATTTTTGAATGCTCCCTCATTTCTATTGGTCGGTTTAATTTGTAAAATCCCTCCAAAACATTCATACAGTCATATTCAAAAGTTCAAAGCCAACGTTTTGTGCAGAATCAAATCAAATTTAGGTACACTTTTAGGCTACCAATACTAGTCTTTTTTTAGTATAATAATTTCACAGGTATTGACTACTGATAAAACAAAAAATTTCACCTAAATTTATTTCAGTAAATCAGTGAGTGATTAATTAATCAGACGCTGTTAATTTTACATGGCATCTTTTTTGTCAAAAGTTTAAAGCATTTCATGAAAACTAGTGACAGGGTTCGAATTTTTCTTTCAAATTTTGCTATTCAATTGACCATTTTAAGAGCAGCAAAAAATCAACCGAAAATATCGATTATGAACCAAGTTATAAACTTTCTCGTTCAACATTGGTTTCTATGGCGATAAATTGAATTAGAGTAATTAATCACGACCACATAGGTCAAAATTTTTCAAAATGCATTCACGAAAAATTAAATGCATACTGAATAATTTACTTGAATTTCATTGTCCTTAGGTCAATCGTTCTCGACAAAATTCACATTATCTTGTTTCGTTCGAATTTTCCCATTGTATCCTCTAAGTACGTTAGCTCTGTTAGGCCC